TTCTTTGTCCGATTCCGGTTTTTGGGTTTTAGAGATATAGGATCACTAGTATAATTGATAAGATCTAACCCGAACTCAACCTCGTATTTTGGTTTGGTTTAGCTCTTCGGTTCCAGTAAAATATGCCCAGGCTTAGTTGCATAAGTCAATTTGACTATTTACTATACTTTGTCAAAGCCTAATAAATCAACAAAGACAAATCTTTGCCAAAAAAGTTTGGGATGTGGGGGTTTATAAGCTTTAGAAATGATACTCCCATTAGAGATAGTATAAAGACAACAAAGATTGGCATCACCTAGATAGATTTCTTGTCGCTTAGATTTTGTGAAGCAAGAGGACTGGGAAAAAAAAAGAGGACTGGAAGAAAGTGATAAACGGTGGTTGGTAGTTGAATGATTTATCTTGAATTCGACTCTTATGGGGGGAGACGTTCTTTTGTCAAGGGGATCACTTCTGACATTTTAATCGTCATTTCACTAGATATACACAAACATCAAAACGATTTTTGTACACTATGATTTTCATGTGGTAGTTTTGTTTTTCATCATTCAAATTATAAACTATCATATAAAATGAATTTAGTGATTTCATTGTAGTTCATTATACATGTGTACACATCTTCTTTTTCTATTTGATAAACAGTAGTGTATACGTCATCTCTTGTATGTGCTACTAGTTTAAAACACATTAGATCATCCGCAACCACGGGTCCTTAGGGGGGAATCCTTAAGAAAAAATAAAAATGGGTATTTTGGATTATATAAGGATATTTCAGATTTTTTCTTTTAAAAAAGAAAAACTGACCATTCACGGGCCGTCACGTGGGCAGTGGAGTCCGCAAATAGTGTAAGGATCAATCTTTAAATAAGGATTTTAAGGATAGAATCATTAACTGTTCATGGGACCTACTGATTATAAAATTAATATTTCCTTAAGGATTTTCTCTAAGGACCCGTGGTTGCGTGTGCTCTTATGTGCAGACAAATACTACATACAAAAAGATCAAATGTGTACAGATAAATGAGAATATAGCAGAAAGGGTGCATGGGACCGGACGTGTCCAGGAAAAGGCCGAACGCACCAATGTGTCTCTGTTGATCGGCAACACCAGAACATGGCCATGTGACCCACCCACTCTTTTTCTTCTTCTTTTTTTCCTTCCTACCCTTTTTTCGTCTGTTTTAAATATTAACTGATAAAACATGATTCATCTTTTTCCAAAGGATCTTCCCCTTAATGGTATTGGACGTCACAGATATTTACTTACACGGTCTAAGTATACATATACTGCTAACTGCTAAGTATACGTATTGAAAATATTATTGCACATTCATGACAGAATCATCCAGATTGAATTGTTTCTTATTTAATTTCGGAAAGTTTTTAACAATCTTATCGACTACCAATAATTTATTTCGATTCTGATTTCAGTGAGAAGTTTTACTGCCTCAAAAAAAATATTTGCTAGTAATTTATAAAATCATCAGCCTGTTTTACTTAACATAGTCGGAAAGCTTACCAGTAAATATGCTTTTTGTGTAGAAAACCAGCAAACATGCTTACTATACAAGGAATTATATATAGATCTGATCAAAAATGTACATAAAGTAAAAGATGTATACATTTCTTAATTTTTTGTGAAACGTATACATAATATTTGTTCAGTACAGAATTATTGTCATTTTATAAGGAAATAAGGGTTATACGTGAAGGTGGAGCGGTGGAGGCCCATTCTGGAGTCTTAGAGCACCCCCATTGAGAGTTCAAATGGGGAGTTCACACGGAAATCAAAAAAATAAAATAATAAAATAATAAAAATCTATGAACCCTTCTCTCCTAAAGTTCACCCGGGTGAATCCCTCTCTCTTAAGGGTGACCCGAGATTGATCTAGGTCTTTTTTTTTTCTTTTTTAAAAATATAAAATTGAATCAATGAACCCCAAGAGGGGGTTCATTGATGTGGATGCTCTTAGGTACCGGCCATGCTCTTGACTTTACTCTGCCTCCACGATTTTTTGTTTAGCTCATTAATGTCACGAACACGCTTGGCATAGTTCTACCGATAAATCAGTAACAAAATCATAAAAGTCGACAAATTTAATGGGTTTCATAATTTTTTATTATCTTCATTAGATATTCAGTTCAGAATTTTTTTTTTTTTTTTTTTGTAATAGTTACCAATAAAAGTAGATTTTCATTACTTTTGTATATTTATGGTCAGACCCAGGCCTAAGTACAAGCAAGATAAACATAGGTTTGAGACTTTGAAAAATTTATATATCATTAAGGGCTAATTCCAATCAAACAGTTCTCGCTCTGCTTATGGTCTAGAAAATACAGCAAAATTATCAAAATAATAATTTTGGCTCTAACTGGTGACTATTAAAATAAGAATAGAAATGAGTAGGAAAATAATAAGTAGAAATAAAATAAAAGGAATGAAAAAGAATAATTATTACTTTGGTTCCATATCAATTTTGATAAGGAATGTTTTTGTTCTATAATTCCTTAGAATTCAAGGAATGACAAGGAATCATACGCAGGAAATATTCCTTATGAATGGTGTATTTGTTAAGAAATAAGTAGGAATTGGTTATTCCTCTTTGTTTCCTATGTTACCGTTTAGACCATTTATGTATATACTCTATTACTATCTACACCTTTCCCCAACTTTTTATTTTAAAATTAATGGATTCCTTCCAAAAATATAAAACAATTCAATTTTTTATTTATTAAGAATATTGTTTGTCTTGCCTGAAGATATGTGTGAATTTTAATATCTTATAAGAAATATCTTATGTAATATCACAGAAATCTAGTTTGTGACATTAAAATATCTTATGTAATACCACAAAAATCTAGTCAGATATCACTTTTTAAAAATATACTCATTCAAAAATAGTCTAACATTTGGATTTAGGGTTTGGTGATAATTATCTTGAATATAGTAGTTAAGGGATGAAGTTGAATTTATAAACTTTTATAAATATTTATAAATAATTTTTGAGGGTTATTTTAGTTTTTTCATAAAGTATTTATGAAAATTGTTATCATTCAAGGTAAATTTGATAAGTTATATCAAACTTATGGTAAAATTAGAATTCTCTCGCAGTTAAAAGATTAATATAGACATCCACATCATGTATTTAGTTAGGCTCTAAATAACCATGACTGAATCGCTCGAAGCAATCCGTTAATTCATATTCCAAACTCTAGGGTGCTGGTTAGTCCATTCTATCGGTCAAAATTCCATGATTAGTTTTCATAGCGTTTCACGTAATTATTAACTAATTTATTTATTTGAGGTATGAGCATGGTGAATGGATTTTTATATTTTAACCAACGCTCAAGATTATGGTAAGCACTAACTAGACATTCGCCAGCCATCTAATATTTGATTAGATTTTGTGTGTTTCAATTTTTTTTTTTTTGATATTATATATGAAATAAAATAATATCAAACCAAAAGCCTGAAAATGTGTAATATTCAGTAAAAAAAGCTTGAAAATTTGGGTAACTAAGTCGGACATTAACATGTGTTAATAAGCCATTTTTAGTAAATTTGCTTATAATAGTCAAAACTCAAACTTGAGAAAAAAGAAAACTCCAACAAGTTAGGATAACAACATCAATCGGAAAGTGGTCAAACTTGTTTTCTCAAACAAAAAGGTGTGAAACTTGTGAGCCTAACATTTGGCGGTGGCGTGAAGGCCACCGTTGAAAATGGTGGCCGGCGGCTCCTGAATTTTGAAAAACATCAATTTATCACGCACCAAACTCATCCCACGTCTGCAGCTAAAATCCATTTGCAAGATGATTTTTCAGGCTGCAGTTTATTTGTTATGGAGGGAAAGGAACACTAGACTGCACAAGTCTGTTTCTCGGCCTGTGTCGGTACTGATTAAAGAGACACATCTTCTCTTAAGATCGAAGCTCTATGGCCTTGACCGAATCGCGATTTCCACTACTCGTCCTAACCGTCTTCCTACTGCAACGTATCTCCATCTATGGTT